TTCAAGTTGAAGCTGTAGTAGTATTCTGATGAAGCTTCGTCCTAGCCCCTGTTCTAGTTTAAAACTGACCGCGTAAACAGCAGTACTCATTTCTAATTTCTATTTCACCTGTTTCTGCATTAAGCTCTCTCCTCCTGCTGATTTCGTGTCTTCATATTTTCACTTATTCTCAGACACATCTCTAATTCCATTATTATTATCTGTAGGAATGTCCTCAAATTACAAATTTCTAAGCCTCTTATTTTCCTGATTTTATCTAAGTCCAGTTTTCGAAGTTTTATCTAAAGTTGACAAATTTAGACAAAAAATCAGGATATCTTCGAAAAGTGTTATCAGTTTGATACTTTTTCACTATGTGTAGGGCGTGAAGCAGAACAATCGGAGCTTTTAATGCTGGTGCTCATAAAACAGAAACATGAAACTGCAAAGAGAGAGAGAGACAATAATTTTTTCCAAAGTCAGAAGGAGCACTCCAAAGCACAGTGCACCAAACATCTAACACTAAGGTTGTGCTGCTATGGCTTTTCTACAGTACGTACCTGTCGGACGTCAGTATCAGATATCCTCTGAAATAACAAATATTATGATAAAAACGAAAAGAACTTGCAAATTACGAAGGCTAAGTATCATACGATGTGTTAGTTTACAAAAAGTTCTGGCGCCCAACCACTTTAAAAATATTTGTCTCCCATACCCTACATGAATGTAACTTTTCGAAATTTTCCCGGAGCCGAACAACCAGGCCCACACACAACAAGCGGAAAAACAAAGGCATGACCTAAACATATCTTCAACTCAAGACAAATTGGAAAGATGATATCAACGTGACAATTAGGTGAGGTGCATGGGTGAGGCGCAAGCAACAAACCTGGAGATCAGTATTCAGAACCATGATTTTTTCTGTTGATATGAACAAGTCGATGTCGGTACTCGGCTGAATTTCGCCAGCCGGCGCCTAAAATTAACAATCTTTTGGCTCTTATTTCAATAAAACATCGATGACTAATGTTTTTTTAATATCATATTATGTTTATTTGCGTTCAATCCTTCCTGCATGCTGCGAGTTAGCTATACAAATGTACATATAAAACACCGTGAAGCAATGAATTGTGTTAAATTTGATTCCACGAGTACCGTTATTAAGAACTCAGACTGCTACCTTCTGGTTAAAAAATAATTATTAGCGCACAGCAGGACATGACCGTGCATTTTTGTACAAGGTGTAGAGGGAGGGCATCAAGAATAGGAAGATTCATTGTTTCACGGTTTGATATGTACATTCGTGTTTGAATGTCTTTTCCCCACGTTTGGGGAGAGAGCTATCGGCTGGGACAGTGATATTGTGGAATTTCAACTTTCCACCACGCCCGATTGTGAAGAGGATGTCAATACATTACAAATGAAAATTCTTTACGTGTCCGTACACGACACACACATACACACGGATACATACACACACATAAAAATACACACAAAACACATACATACCTCAAGATATGCGTTTTTGCATTTAACCAAGGACGCAAAAAAGCACAAATTAAAAAATTTATAAAAAAATGATCAGCAAAGTCGAAGCCGAGCGCATTTCCAAAGCTGCCCAGCGCTACCTTTTTCTCACGCATTCAGTAATTCTTGCATGCACGTCGTATGATAAATGATTTGAAAAATAACGATATGAATCTGCGAAGGATAAAAGGAAATGGTTCAAATCCATGTGTCAAACAAAATTTAGACTTCCGTTTAATAAGCAAAATTGACGCCAAAATACCACGGTTAGCAGTTCCGTCTCAAGAAATAATAAATGGCAACGCGCACCAGACTAGCCGGTGCGATCATGCGTTTTGTGCAATTCAGC